TCCGAATTTCTTCACTATTTTAACATTTTTGTTGCAGTCTCATTAACCTATGAGATTTTATCAGAGGCAACAACGGTTTCGCTTCTTCGTTTACCCATATTCGTTAGATCTATTTGAAAATAAGATACACGAGACGAACATTAGGAAACTGAGCATTATTCGAAGACGAATGGAGGACAGCCCCTTTCGGTAAATACGTCGGTTGTCTCAACATTCTGGGATTTTCAAGGACATGCCCGAGAATTTTAAAAGGCTTACGAATCACCTATAAAATCGCTGTTGAAGTGTCCTCATTCCACGTGAGTCTCAAGGAATGTTCTGCGGTACAAACGCAAATAAGGAGGCCTCCAACAGGAAACAAGACATCTTTTGTCATGCCAGGCACTTTAATATCTTATCTCGAATTCCTGGTCTGTTGACTTTAAGGAAGCATGATTTGAGCTTGAGTAGGTATTCCGTCTCTCTAGTCACTCTTTGCATCAGTTTGTGAGATGCTGTGTTCTACATGGAGATATCCCGGAAACGTACATATAAACTGAATTTTGAAGGTCAGGTGAAAAAGGTGACGGTGTTTGCTAAGTCTGGGATATGGGAGGCAGCAAAGGCAGTCTTCGACATCCCAGAGGGACAAGTAATCGATTTCCAGATTGAGACAGCTGGAGGAGAACATATTAGGATCAATTCCTTGAGTGATCTCCCAGACAGTCATGGGACAATCAGTTTGTTCCGGGTTCCCTCCAAGCGTCCTGTGCCACGAAAGCCATCTTTACTTGTTCAGCCTTATCGAAGGTGAAGTCTCGCTTATTCTGATGTTTCTTTTGCGCCTGAGGGAATGAACACTGGAGAGTACCAGTAAAACTTACAGCTTACAGGGAGAAAACATTGTCTTCTGTTGCCAAACACCCTATGTCTGGAAAACATGTTACATTTTGGACTTGTCTCAAACTCTCGCACCCGTTCGCTGAGGCGAAGTTGTAAGCAAAGTACGCACTGGTGCACAGTAGGTCAAAACAAGTAAATACCTGGCCAAAAGTATACTAAAGTTCCTAATTTTTTTATTATCCAGTTCATTTACTCTTATAGAGAACGGTCATAATATTCAGAGATGCCACATTTGAGCTTACCTGAGTAAAGAATGTTCTTATATTTACAGGACAAGTTCTCAGGAATTTTTATAAGAACATGGATGTCCATTTTTTTAAATTAACTTTATCACTCAGGTTGCCATGGTAACAATTATCTTTCCACTTGCGCATGATCACATTTATGGAGTAGATGTGTCACGGGAGGATGACTAAACTGATTTATTTAATTTTTTTATTCATCGAGACTAGTTGGAATGTTGAGAAGTTCATGGTGAATGTTCTATTTAACGTTATGGTCATGGTAACCCTATTAAAAGGCAAATAAGTATACAGGTACATGTACCACCAGGCCCAAAGGGGTCTTGTATTTTTGGCTTCCCTTTCTGTGTGGTCTTCCCCCTCCTGCTGAAGGACCACTTTCAAAAGTAAGCTTGTAGCGGCTGGTCTAAGCACATAATTGGTTGGAGGCCTTACGATTGTCACGTGCATCACTTGCGGGAGTACGCAGGCAATGCCAATGTAGACCGGTAGTGGGATTCGTTGATGAACGCGTGAACCAATTGAACAGTTCCCTAGGGAAGTGACTAAACGATGAATGCCCTAACAATAATTTAATCACAGAACATAAAACGGTTCAAGGGAAATACATAATCCTCCAACGGAGGTCACCAGCAAGTAGTGGCGTTGTGTGTGGCGGAGAGAAGTGCAGAGGAGAAGTCCGGGAGAAATTTGAAGAGAGGACTGAGTGGAGAATGTCCAGAGTCCACGTAAATATATTTTACCGACGCTATAAAAATGACGAACTTGGGTCCTTGCGCCCAAGTGTAGAACAGACGATGGTGCATTGACGGACCTGAGAGGGTGCCGCAATGAAGCTGGATGAATGTGGAGAGTGACTCCGGGTGACTTCCCATGTGGCACAGCAACGTTGAATAGACGTTGAATATACGTATATTTATCGACCTGGAAACGTTGAGAGTATACGTGGAATTTAACAATATTAAGAACCATGTAGATATGGAGGCAATGCACTTCTCACGTCCTGGGGGTGTGTCCCTCACTGGCGGGTAGTCTCTAGAAGGCTTGTGTTGCTCGTCTTCTCTTGGCACAACTGTTCTGGGTGTCCGCCTGGTCTGGAATTCCCAGGCACAACCTCTCCGTGCCCTCGGGCTTATTTCAAGCCCATCACAATATCATAACTTATAAGTAGATTAGTTAAACTTTCTAAGATAGAGCGCACAGAAACCTTTATGCCTATAAAAATCTTGCAATTTTTTATTACGTCATCTTACATCCAAAGAGAGTTGACAGAATACAGGTTTCAAAAAGGCCTAGAAAAAAAGAAAGGTGTACTAAAAAAAAATATGTCTGCTTGTGGCTGTGGCCTATGCCTGCAATATTCAACTCAAATGGCCCATCTTACTGCTTCTTATTCTCCATTATATTTACTTCCTAAGTTTTACTAAAATGGGAATTTGAACTTAACACCAGAGCAACTGAATGGGTCTGATTGAAAGCTATCAGCCCCTTAAACTTTAATGGAAGTAGGTATCAATTTACTTGCTCTAGACATTCAGCATGTATTTTCTATGAACATGTCATTAAATAACTTACACCAATCAATTTAATTATTTTGATACTCATAGTTCCTGAAGTCTCTTGAGAAGCAATAGGCCTATCTGAAGTGAAAATAGTTGGGTTATTGCAGAAGTCTGTCAGCTGGCATGAACATAATTCAGCTAATAATACCAACGGGTCCATGAACGGATTAGAGGTCTCTTTATGTTAAACTGCAGGTAGGATTGGGTTTAGTCTTGAGGATATGTGAAATATGCTTAAGATGGATTATGGCTCGAGGCCTATCCACAACGAAAGTTCTACAATGAGACATGCAGGTATACCCTTGGTGTCTGTGTCTCTACTTTGGGGACTTAGCCATAAAGTGGACAGTTTCCCAAGGATTTCGCCTTGTTCAGCACAGTGTAGGCTAGTGCAACGAAATGGAGAGAGAGTCACTTAGGGCCAAACCCTTCAAAGCAGTCTTTAGTTTTTGGAAAAGCCAAAAATCACAGAGGACCAAATCCGGAGAATAAGGTGGATGGTCTAGCTTCGTGATTGATTTGTTGGCCAGAAATTGCCTGACAGTGAGTGCGTCATGAGCACCAGCGATCACCCATTTTCGCGATGGGTCCGAGAAACGCTCTCTTACTATCAATGCGACTGTGTCGCAAGGACTGGTACGATTGTTTTACAGCTGCAGCATAAGGAAGCACGGATGTGTTGGAACACGTCCGTATTGCGTCATAACGCTCGGGCAACCCGACACCGAACTGTAAAGGCATTCGGGGAACTTTATCGTCACACCTCGCACGCTCATCCCTCAACTCTTTCGGTTGAAACAAATCGCTGTAACATATTCATACAGTATTTTCAAGTGATACATATCTTGGAACATTCTGCGAGTAGTCCACATTGGAAGTCATCCCAACCCGGAATTTTTTACGTCTGTTCAAATTTTCTTACACGCGGTTACCGCTCATACTAGTGCGATCGGCTATATGATAATAGCCGACGTCCTCTGTCTGTCTGCCTGCCTACCTTTATCGACCCCCCCCCCCCCTCTGCGGGTAGTCTTGGGCCGATCGGGCCGGCCCGTTGCTCGCATAGGCCACTAAGCTTCAGAACTCGAGGTCTTTGAGTTCATTTTTTTTATAGGCGGCTCTGCTGACGTCATCATCATCATTATCATCATCGACTAAAAGCTAAATTTAATTTTCGAACAATTTTCGGAAATACATAGCTTCTTTATTAGGCTTCTTAAATGAAAAAGTTCTTGTAAATGGACTAATAAATATTAGAGTCATAATAAAATATATAGGGGGCACCGATTTTATGAATCACGGTGTAGATCAGTCCAATCGGGTCATGACGAAGAAAGACTTCGCCGGAGTGATAAAGGTTGCCATAGGAGGCATTACTACATTCTGTATACAGAACGGCTTCCGCGCATGTAGAATATTCCCATGGACTCCTGACTAAGAGGAGAAGTACCTCGCTGTCAAGGACGCACCCATCTCCATGCCATCCTCTCTGACCTTGAAATATTTCCGGGAGATCATAGGGGAACAACTAACATCAACCCTTGAACTGGGACCATGTCCAGGGTCCATGGATGAGGTTTAGAAGGCGGTGAGGAACCTGTATGTATATGAACCTGTATATGGCAAGCAGAAGGAGGAGACATCCTCCAGTTCCCCTCCCTCGGCAGCTAAGTGAAACGGCAGTATCCCCCCTGTACGCCGCAACAGAAATATCAGAAGTGGAGGAAGCACTAGGAAGCACGAGGAAGCACTAGACAAGCCAGCACAACTGCAGGATTGCCTGATCTGGCCTGAAACTCCAAGAGGAAAAAACGGAAGGATTTCCATGGATGATGTCCTGTGGAAAATGGAAGGACATGTCTCAAGAGAGAGAAAGACAGAAGAAACGATTGGAACAAGAAAAAGAAGAGAGGAAGGTAAGAGAGGAAGATAGCCGAAAAACAGAGAAAACAAGGAAATGACGAACAACGGTCATGGGAAGTAGAGGAAAGCGCAAGGTGAATAGTGGAGGAAGTGGAATTTTGATTAAGATGGCGTTGGCCTACCCTTCGATGAACGTATGTAGCAGATCGAATTCCTCAATTGCGCTTCGTTTTTCTAAGAAATAAAGGAAGTGATTGTCGCCAGATTATATGCATCTCATTATTACTGAAGCAGAAAGAATCGTCGCTACGGTTTGATTCAAACCCAGAGGAACCATTGCAATCTCTGCGATGGGCTTAAGTGGCCAAAAACTAGGGTGTTTACCATATAAACAATACAAGTAATTTCCTATTTGCAACACACCATGTTAATCACAATGGCGTTGCACAGAATGGCGTATCTTTTTCTGAATGGATATGTTTAACCTTTTTTACCCCTAGATCCGTGGAGGACGCTTCAAGGGAATTTGACGATGCCGATTGCACAAGGGAAAGAAAATTGGTGAGATTCGACTTTCAATTCCCTGATTGTCCATAGCCTGTTCCGTATCATCACCCCGAAAAATGGAAAATGAGCAATTCAACATAAACTCTATTAAAATTGATATTCAGGGTTCTCCTGCCCCAAATCCCAGAAATGTCACACTTCAGCCCCATCTGGTTGGGAAATGAAATGCTACTGTGTGGTGGAAATTCAGGGTCACCTATTAGCATTTAATATAGTCAGCCTCGTATCACAAGAAACATTAATGTTAGAGCCTAGAGTAAAGTTTTAGTTTATGGGAGTTTAAGGGAATAATTCAAAGTTGGCACAAGAACATCCCTTCAGGAAAAAACTCTCAATTTCACTGCCGAATAATATATTTTAGCTGTGAACTTGTGATGATGCGAAAGAAAAGAAAATCCCTATGGAGGTGAATGTACCATTGTCCAAGCAGCATGTTTACGTAAACATGATGCCAATTTTTTGCACTGTAGATTTCTTGCGATTGCCATGAAAATGACGTCATGTATACGTAAAATTTATGTTCCTATATTTATGGCACCAAAGTATACTGTATTTTATATAAACTAGACGCCACTCCATCTGACGTGAAGTACTTGATATCAAGTTCATGCAAAATTAACACCACACCATCCACATGTAGCGTTAGCTGACCATCCCGCAATTCCGATACCAAGATTCCTCACTAGATGGAACCCATGATCCCTGCATATTACAAATGCTATTAAGTACTGGTTTTCCTGATATAGTATCAGGTTTTTTTTTTACCATCCTTCCACCTTTTATCATGCAACCACGAATATGTATATGGAAAGCATGACAATTTTATAAATTTTAAAATAATATATGACTCAAGGAATCATTAAATGCTGAAGCTAAGCTTGTTATTACAGCAGTGCATGGGAATAGCAAAGAGTAGGATCCCAAATTCACAAGTACTATAACCCTCCTCCCAAAGTTCTGGTACGGGAGGAGGAAGCAGTGGGTCACCTTGATACTTTTGAGTGCTGGAGAGGATGAGTACTTGTGTACTCGTGTACTCATCCAGGTACCATAGAGTTCCCAAGTAATGGAAAGGAATGGGAGAAATACAGTGAATCAATTCCCTCCAAAAGTATGAATTTGCTCGTTAAATACGCATGAATGTTTGGAGAAAATGAACATCAATTTTACGTAAAGTGAACGTAAACATGATGTTGGGGTGGTAAATGGGAATGTCAATTTGACAGCAAATTTAAGTTAATTTTATATCCCTGTTTGCGTATTATAGAGGTGATATTTCTGCAAATATGTTGACATTATCTTTATGGTTTGCGTGAAAAAGATATAAAATGGAAAAAAATTTAATTCATTTGACGTAAAATTAACAAACATGCTGCTTGGGTGATATATGAAATTGCGGCAACATAGTTGTGTATATGAATTTGGATGAGCTTGGTTGTTCTTCGGGAATAGAAAGTCACATTGGTCTCGCCTTCAGCGCTATATTTGATAACCAAATGTACATTTGAAACGTCCGCCCTCGGCTCTGACACTTTTTGAACCAGTTAAACTCCAAGTTAACGCTTTTTAAATGCGTTATGGCAACACTCCAGGTAATCAACTTTAGATGAATTCTTGCCTCCAACCCAGAGTATCTGACATATCAAGTTCACGGTGTAACCTGCACAAGTGGCTAAATTTTTGCACCACTGGAACCAGAATGTTAGTTCCAGGTTTAAGAAATTTCGTTTTTTATGTCTGGCTATTTCACTGGAACGAATAGAAAGGTTTGTAATTCTCTCTAAAATAATATTCCCAATGAAAAAAATCCTGAACGTATAATCGGCCTTTTGAACATTAGTCATTTGCCTATTGAGCAAGATAATTCCTAAATTATTACTCCGAATATTCTCTGAAGCAGTCTATATTATTTGAAGATTAGAAAAGCTATATTATGAAGCAGGGGGTTGCCAATAAAGTAATCTGAATTGAATATCCGGTAACATTCGCAAAATGAAACCACTTGATAATGCTTTACCCATCCACAGTCTAATAAGAGGAATAGTGAATTGATCCCAAGAAAATTTCCCAGAAACCATTAGTCACTTTCACCATTACTTCCAGCTTGAAACAAAATTTAGTGTTTGACATGGCAAGTTTTCTTAATCCAATTTTCAAATTCCTTTGGACAGCAGGAAAACATCGCCGAATCTGTAAAGAAAGCGTACCAAATTTATTTAAATATATTTTAATGGTAGTAATGGTATTACTAAGGGAAGAAAGCGTAAACAGGACTCATGGTTTCTACTGTACTTCATAATGATAATAGTCCGAGTGTTTCATTTAAAATTCATATTCAGCACTCTTTCATATCCCTACATGAACTTGTTTTGGTGTCCAATAAGGATTTTCCAAGGTAAGAATATTTAGTTTCTTAAGCATTCATTAGTAATATTGACATTTTCACATTTTCTTTCCCATTGGCGTCCCATTGGCCATCGTTTTTCTTCTGTGAAGTGGCAGGAGACATCGATTGGTCTCGTCTCGTTTCAAATTACCTTCTCATTTTTCTTATGCAGAGGGACGACATACATCTATTACGTTTGGACAGCGGGAAAGGGGATCAAGGTACGGACGACATGGAGTATTCGGAAGAAATCCAGTCGAAACTTGAGCAGTGCCCTCAAAGTACCGGCTCTTTCTTACCTTTTGGATCAGCCCTCCCAAATGCTTCCCCCGACCGCCACTCTCAGGAGCAACCATTGCCAAACATAAAACCCCAACAGCTGGAAATGTTGCCTGTCGTTAGACATATTCAGTCTACATTAGAAGACCAAAATGGAATATATCAAGAAGAAATGACTTCATATCCGACAGGATGTTTAAACAAACATATGTCCGTCCCAGGGAACTTTCCTCCCAATTTGCAATTTCCACCAAATCATCAAATAGCTCAAGTCCAACCAGGCTTCCCTCTCCAAAGACCAATGGCATCTGGTTTTAGTCTAGGTTACCAAATGGGGCAAGAAGAGATTCGTTATATTCTTCAACTTGCAGAACATCTTAAGTGAGTTTGCAAAACTTTCCTAGAATATGTAGAATGTAGTAATATGAAAACCGAGTTTCAAGGGCTTTCCCTTTCTTTAACCCCAACCCCAACCTCAACCTCACCTCTCCCCTTTCTCTACGGAACTCACTAATGTAAGGACCTGGGCCTAACCGACAGACTGTCTTCGGAGCAGACCTAGGTCTACATTTCGTTAAAAAGAAGCTTAATCTCCGACTAACCGGGCCAATTAGGATTAATCCCTGGTCTTGCAGACATCTAACTTTACACGTCCTCGACGAGGACAATCGCAGGCCTACTCAGTCTCTCATGGCCCTTTTAGGAGCGTACGTGTAACGTTAGACCGATTAGAGGCCTATTTCGAGTTTGAATAACCATTTCAGTGCGGATGAGGAACGTTATGCGGATGAGGATGAGGAACGTTATAGTTTCTCGAGCCGTCTCGACGAGTTCTGATGAAAATGCCCCTTGGTAGAAAGGAATACAACCTGCCGCCATCCTGTCAATTTAGGGATATCCGAATGAGAGATCTCCGTATTTCGCAAAATCAAACGGCCACTGCAAGCCACCATTTCAAGTTCGGCTCATGTAATGAACTCCACTCAAAATTATCTCATACACAAAAAAAAGTCCAGACATCGATACCAAGGCCGAAGAAGTCATGAATCTGGCATAACTAAGGCACGATATCCGGCAACACTGGAGGACGGGACCGGAGCCATCACGCTAAGCCTAAATTAACAAAAGCTATTTTCATTTTTTATGGCGAAATGATGCGCTGGAAGCAACAAAAATAACACTTTTCGTCACCTACAAGTAAATATCTTTCGTTTGGTTAGTCTTTTTCCTGGAATCACCCCAGGAGTGGCTACCCTGAGGGGGGAATACTGGAACGAAATTCACACCTTCGAAACGCGAGAATCAGTGATCTCATCTTGGGAAGATAGAGCTTCAAATTTGTTGGGGCGATTTTGTGTTGAGAGAGGAAGAAATACCAAATTTCGTTCTTGTTGATGCTCTCAGAAAGGAACACGAGACGGTTGATTTTGTCGCGGGATGAGGTTGGGGTTGAAGAAAGGAGATAGGCGCGGTAGGGCCTATTGATATGGAATATGAAATGCTTGGGGGGGGAAATACATGTACATCTCTGCGAAGTTTTTGTTTTTCACGTAAATCAAATTTCATCGTGTGAAAATAATTCCGATCCATTCAAATGGGAGTTCTTAGCTAAAATCAAGAATACAATTCAATTCAAATTCGGGGAGTCATTAAACGTTGTTAATTTCTAATGAATATTAACTAATATTTATCATAAGTTATTTTTACTCCCTTCCAAAACTCTTGAAAGAAGGGATAAGGCGTGTCCTTAATTTAAGTGAAACATTGCTATGCTTCTATCTTTCTAGCTATCTTTCTAGCTAGCAAGTTTAATAAAATTATTTTCGTACTTGAAAATAAAGCAAACTGCCCATCATCGCGTGCCATTAATGTTACTTTTCTGAAGAAGTTATATTAGGGTGTAATAATGTATTTTTCAAAGATGCAACACCATCTTCCACCTTAGTTGCAGTTCAGTGTCCATAGTTTCTAGTATTCGAAATACATAGGGATTTAAAAAAAAAAGGGCGATTTTAAAATCAGTCCAGGCTTCGAATTTGTTGTGGTTATTTTATTTTCATGTGAATGTTCTTATCAATAACTGATTTGTTTCCATTGATATTCCAATTCTTGGTTGATTATTTGCGCAATTCAGGAAGCAACAAGTACCACCCACAGGACAGAATGATCCAGCCTCAGTCGACATGCAGGTACGAATTTTGTTACCACTCGATACGAAGGTGTTCTAAGGTTTTATTTCATTACAATTCCTGAAAATGCCTTTCTTACGTTATCATTTCCCTGAGACCCTGGAATTTGTACTATTCTCTTTTCTCACGTAGAAAATTATTTTTTAAATTATCTATTTAGATGGTTTACATAGAGTTGTTTATTGTTAAATGCATGATCTTTCGTGGGCTCGAAGGAAATAGACATTTTCGAAAGCGTTGTATTCTCAGTAAGATGCTTCCTGAGTCTCATACTACTCAATCTAAGAAACAATGGAGATCATGATGGACATCCATTTAAAATGAGGATTCATTTATCGTTGAATAATTATATTTAAAGATAATTGCATTTCTTGGATTGAAGATGCTGCCCTCTGATAACAGCGCATGTTTTCCTGAAGATATTAGCCTAGTAGAGATTAATGATTAAGTGGGATCATTAATGAAGTGAGAACGATATTTTTAGTCGCAGGAGTTCTCTACGAATCTGAAAAGGCCTGTAACGGAATTATAGATATGCGATTTAGAAAATGACTTCTGAAATCTCCTAATATAAGGAAGACATTCTTCCTGGGACCTCGTATTTGGAAGTAGTAAGAATACAGTGAAGAAAATGGGGGAATTTATTTTACTTGTAAGTAAGGCGCTATGCCGTGTAGTTATTTTGTTCTCGATGGTTCTTAACACTTTCGACCTTAGTGATTTCAGTGCGCTATGGGCATAGGACATCAGATGTCGAATACAGGGTTGGAGGTGTTACTTCCTGGAAGTACTGGGTGTTGCACATATATGTCTCCCCTCCATAGACTAAACAATAAGAGCCAGTTTCACTTCAGAGTTTGGTCTGACTGAAGTTCCACTGTGGTCTAGACAACTCCCATAACAAAATCCCAATTGTAACTGCGACTGAAACTAAAACTGGAACTGAATTTCAACTGAACTGTGACTGGACTGCAGTTTTGAAATCAGCCAAAGACCCCTTGAAATATGCTACACAGTCATGTTTTAATCTTGAAGGGTAAAGAAAAGGAGCAGAAAACTGAGCTAGCTCAGAAAATGAAGGAAAAGAGCAAGAACATTGACGGATTCATTTACCAACTTCCGATGAGGGAACTTTTGAACGATGAAGATAATCTTGAAAAGGAGCAGAAAACTGAGCTAGCTCAGAAAATGAAGGAAAAGAGCAAGAACATTGACGGATTCATTTACCAACTTCCGATGAGGGAACTTTTGAACGATGAAGATAATCTTTTAGCGAAGTACGAGGTCGGCGAAAAAGGACCCACCGATGGATCAGGAAGGGTTCTCATGCTCATTGGAGCCACGGGGACAGGTAGAGCCCACCTCCTTCGATTTCAAATTGTGACGGTTTTGGGTCGAAGTAAATTCGTTTTCATCTCCTAGGGAAGACTACACTTATCAATGCGATGGTGAATTACCTCTATGGAGTGGAATGGGAAGACGATTTCCGGTTTAAGCTCATCTTGGACGAAGGGTGTGAACAATCTCAAGCCCATAGCCAGACCAGGTCGATCACGGCGTACGTTCTACACCAGCAGGATGGATTCGCTCTTCCCTATACACTCACCGTCGTCGATACGCCTGGGTTCGGTGATACTGCAGGCATGAAAGCAGATGAGGACTTGAGAAGTCAAATCAAGAAATTCTTCTCTTCCGGCGGGACTATCGGCATGGATCAACTTCACGGAATTGGCTTCGTTGTCCAGGCCGCCTCGGCCAGGCTCACACCCACTCAAAAATACATATTTCATTCAATATTGGCAGTGTTTGGAAAAGATGTGGAGAAGAGCATCTATGTATTGACTACTTTCTCCGACTACGACGAGGCACCAGCTTTGGCCGCCATCCAGGAAGCCAGCATTCCATGCAGAAAACATAACAAATTCAACAATTCTGCCTTCTTTGTGAACTCGTCAGATGCTCACGATTTGACCTTTAAAAAACGTTTCTGGGAAAAGGGAAACGAAAGCTTTAAGGATTTCTTCTTTAGTTTCGTACAGTCCGATCCCGTGAGTCTGACTATGACGAGAGAAGTCCTGGAGGAAAGAGAACGCTTGGAAGCAGCGCTCAAGGGCATCTTACCGCAAATTCGGATAGGTGAGACACAACATTTTAGTGACTTGCCTAAGAAAGGAAACTTTTCCCTCCCCAACCTCCCTATCAGGGCACTATTACCGACGGTAATTAAAATAAAATAAATGATCTTAGTTAATAGCAATGGCGTAGTGCCTCATTGTTATGTCCAGCATGTAAGCTTCACTTGACTTTGAGGCAGGTTATTATTCAGGTAGGGAAAGGTAACACTTCCTATATGTTGAAATAACTACTTCACAATAGAATATGAGAGTCAGAGAAAAAAAAAGTCCAAGACAGCTTTTCTATATACAGGGTGGACCAAAAAAACGCCCCAAATTTGAAGTTTAATAACTTGGGCCAATGTCATTTTTTTTAAAGCAAAATGAGGCTTCTTCAATTTTCTTTCGAATGAAATATAATTTTGGGGGGGTTTGCTTCAGAGAAATAGCCGTTATCACAGTTTTACAACAGCACCTCCTGCCAGCCTCCGGGTATACTCTCTCGGACACGTACTTTTTATTCGGCTGTTGCGATTGTCTTGAGAACGTAATAGTTGGAGGGGTGGGGGGAGGAAAGAGTTCGGATAGCATAAGAGGACGAAAGAAAACGATAGTAAGAGCGGGAATCGAAACCGGGGCCTCCCGAATAGTCGGTCAAGTGTGGTACCACTACACTACCGAACCAACGACGTTCATCAGGCCCTCTCCATGCCATCCCTAACACTATAACATGAGAGAGAGGCATTTTACGCATACCCCCGCCCCCCCTCCCTAATTAGGAGGTGT